TTTTCTTTTGACAAAAACTTTTCCACAAGGGTACTGAACTGTAAAGACAATAATACTACAATTAGAGAAGAAAGACCCACATAAGATGAACCTTGACAACACCATCTCACAATAAATAAGTTATGCAGCTGTTTTCAAGACTAACAAAGCTTAGGCAGATGCAAAAAAAAGACCAGATGGTTTGGAAAAATGAAACCCATTTGCTACACCTAAAACTCTTCTGTAGGCTCAGTCTCTGGACAGTGTTTCCAAAGTATTTAAAGTCACCTTCTATTGTTTACATTGCTATATTCGTGTACTAGCTCTTATTAAAACCATCTTAATTAGGAAACTGAGTGTTCTATTTTAGGAATATGGCTCATGACGGCAATTCATCATTACTTGTAAAGGATATAAAAAACAAAGTCAGGAGCATACCGTTGACTCATCCCTCTTTCCCCATTTTTTGGAACAATTAGAACACTTCAAACAGCGTCAATCTTAACTATTTAATGTCAGCAGTTACTATTTGATTAGGTTAACTGAAATCAGAAGTAGAAACATTTTTGTGAGCTGCTATTTTATATGGAGCATTCGTGTTCAAATAAACAAGATACAGCGAATGCTCTTCACTTTATTTCCTCAGGAAATTCTGTGAGAGGCACCCTGCAAAGGGTTCTCAGTCAGCTAGGTTCTGAGAAGTCCATCATATCACCTCACACATGGAAGACTTCAAAAATACAAACCAGCTGGTTGGCCTCAGTCTTAAATCTATGCCATGTACAACACTGATGGTTCAAAACACATTCTTTAACTAAAACAAGCCTCACCAGTATTGCTATTAGTTTATCATGTGACTTTGTACCTGATGAAACACAGTGTTTGCCATCTTCTGCTAGAACATATCCTTTCGCACAGGAACACATAACATCCTTCTGCACACTTTTTTTGATGCTGCAGAACTGCTCACAGTCACCGTTGTTTATTTTGCAGTACTTTGGTATGACTATAAAAGAGGTAAGTTTGAAAAAAAAAACCTGTAAGTAAACACTGACTTTGCAGATCTAACAAAAATAAATTGCACTCTTCAAAGAGGATCTGTAGTTCCCCTGTAAAATGCTTGAAACCCATTAAAATGGGTAACAGCAAGAGTGGCGAAATTTTGCGTATGCCTTACAAAGCAACCACATCCACTGCACGAAACATACTTGGTAAACCCATGTGCACACAGTGACACATCACAGTGAGCTCCAAAAAGCACTAGCACGAAGGTGCAGTTACTGATAAATCCTCGCATGATTCATCCCTCCTGCCCTAAAAAGATCAGCTCTTCATCATTCCCCTCTGTCCTGTTTCTTAACTTCAGTTCCACACCCTCCACTCTTCTGGGCAACCATACACGCTCCAGTGACATCATTACATTATTAGGAAAGTAGCTGTAGGGCACAGATGTGAGGACTCAGGAAAGATTGCTATGAAAGAAAAGGATTCTTTGCAAGGCTGAAAAAGTCTCTGCATTGTCTACTGAGATCTGCTTTCTTTGGTTCTTCACTGCTGTGAGCTGAGCAGAGATGCTGTACTCCTGAGCTTGGAGTCCAAGGTATGATATCAGTTATAATGATATATTATAACTTAGTTTTATTGCCATATTTTGGGTGTTCAAGCTCATGTGAAGAGGCACTCTCATACTTAAGAGGGTTTTGTTTGGAAGAAGTGTGAATTTGGAGCACTTGCTAATGCTATCCAGCTGTAGAGCCTGAAGGCTTTCTGCTTCTGGCACTGCCTTTCAGCTCACTGTTGACTGCCACCCTATTCTATGTATTTTTCTAAGAGGAATTAATCTTTGTTAAGGGAGTGTTAACTCCCTATGGTTCTGCAACCCGGTAAACTCACTGCCACAGGTCTTTGAAGGAGAAACCTACCAAATTCACAGTTCTTGCCTTGATAACCATCCAAACAGGAGCAAGTGTAGGAACCAATTCCATCCTTGCACTGTCCGCCATAGTGGCAAGGATTTGAGCTGCACTGGTTGCCATCTATAAAAAAAAAATAATAATAAAAAAAAATTGTAAGAGAGCAAGCATTTTTAGTGAGCTCTGAAGGGGGGGGGGGGGGGGGTTAGTTTTCACAAGCAATCTTTCATTGTTCTTTTTAAAACGTATGTCCTATGAGCAGCCACTTTCCAGGCAAGCAAGAGTAACTGCAGTCATTCCAAGTCGGCATGATTCATATACATATCCTCAGTTTTGCAATCTGCTTTTGGTGGCTACTGTATAGTTTCAGCTTTTTTTTCCAAGAAGATAAATTCATACTTGCTTGTCCAAGTGTACATCATTTACAGTGAAGATTGTAAAAGCAGATGGGACATTTCCATGTTGCAACTACTGTCCAAGGCATTTCCCTGCAATTTCCACATAATAATGACAACTCAACTCTTATTTCTTTAAAGGTCATCTCGTCCCACATGCATGTGTTTTGCCTGCAGTGCCACTTATTTAAAGTAACAGATACGAGCGTATTAATCAGAAGATAAACAAAACAAAACAAAATGTTTACAAAGCTCTGCTAAATCCATGTGTGCAGGCCAAATTCCTGTTTCATGCTTACAGTACCAAAATTGTCCCATTTTATCTACTGAGGTGTGAGCTTAGACCTCAAAGAATTAGCTCTTGCCTCATGCTCCCTGTATTTAAGCTGGGATCTCAATATTTAAACATATTTCTGCCACCTCCCTTCCTTTCCATGACCTGGACACAATTGGCTGGCCCCAGCCACAGCCACACATACTTCACAAATACAGTTACAAGTAGAAAAATGAGGCTGCACCACATTTGGGGGAATGTGCCACACAGCAGCCTCTTCTCCCACCCTCACAAAAGCAGCTCACTCTCCTGCACCGATGCTCGCTACCTAGATCTCTCCCATACAGCAACCTGCAGTAACAAGTGCATTCCTGCCTCATACGATGCCAGGCTCTTCTGGAGTGTGTGATAAGACAAGTAGGATATCTGGGGAATTGATGCTTGCTACTTAGTTGCTGGAGATTCACG